GCTTCGGGAGTCGCCAATTACCGTCCAGCCATGGCCAAGTCCAAGAACCACACCACACACAACCAGTCCCGGAAATGGCACAGAAACGGCATCAAGAAACCCCGGTCACAAAGATACGAATCTCTCAAGGGGGTTGACCCCAAGTTCCTGAGGAACATGCGCTTTGCCAAGAAGCACAACAAGAAAGGCCTGAAGAAGATGCAGGCAAATAATGCAAAGGCCATGAGCGCACGAGCGGAGGCCATCAAGGCCCTGGTGAAGCCCCAGGTGGTGAAGCCCAAGGTGCCAAAGGGCCCCACCCGCAAACTCACCCGTCTGGCTTTAATTGCTCACCCCAAGCTTGGGAAGAAGATTAGAAGCTACATGGCCAGGGGTCGTAGGCTCCAAAAAACAAAGCCCAAGGTTCAAGCCAAGGCAGAGGCCTCAGCTGCAGCTCAGGCTCCCAAAGGTGCCCAGGCCCCTGTGAAGGCCCCATAAAAAAGGTCGCAGTCTGCCAGTGTGAAGACAGATGGACTGGTGTGAACACCTACACAGTATTTGCAGATGTTCAGGACCTTATGCTGTTTTTACAAATACACTTGAGGCAAGTTCTGTTAAAAAAAAAAACAAATATGTGTGTATACACATATATATTATTTTAGAAAAAGAAAGGAAAAATTACCTGGCAGAAACATGAATCCTAAATAAAATAGCTATAATACAGCATCTAAAACTTGAATGAAATATATTTACTGAAGACTTTGTCTGTTTTAGGCAGTATAGAGTGTATAATTTCACACCCAAAGATATTTGTAAAATTAAAATATATAAAGGTGAAACGTTTATTTGAAATCAATACAGTCAGTAGATGGCAGAGTTGAGACACCAAATAAGATCAATCTGATTCTCTAAGGTTTGAGAATGACATGCAGAAACCCTTTTCGACTTCCATTTTATTGAAGTATGGATGACAAAAAAAAGTCTACAAATTTAAGATATAAATGGGATATAGCTTAGTAGAGCACCTGACAAGCATGAAGCCACTAGATTTAATCCTTAGCACCACAGACACACGGAGCTGTGAATTTCAGGCTGGAATGTAAGTTAGTGGTAAACTGCTTGCCTAGCATGTGAAAGTCTCTGGATTAGACTCACAATACCCCTCTGCCTCGAAAAAAGATGGACTAAATGTTTATACAAACTTTCATGTGAAAGTCAGTTACTTCTGATAGACCTCAACCATAATACAATTTTTTAAAATTTTCTGTATCTGATCCACAGTAGCTACTTAGCAGGTAAAATCTGAATCAGTCTGACTCACGTACATGCTGAAAGTGAGGACTACTAAACATAATGTCTTTTCTCCAAATCCCTTATTAGACTTGTGCACTAAATTAGGTAAAGTGTTACAAATAAATATTCCACTGAATGCTATCTATTAAATTCATGTAGTTTACATTTTAGGATATTGAAGATGTTATAAACTCTGTTTCAAGGAAGAAATTTTAATATATAAAAAGATAAGACATTTAGGAGAAAACAAATCTCAAAAGCTAATCTTTTTCTCTCTCTAACATCTTCTTAGCATGTAACAAACATGATTCTGAAACAGTTACAATGAAGCAGGTAAAGGAAGACAGCACAACTTTGATTGAAATGCTTTCTAACACACCCTATTATAAATACTATAGTTTTAATCATAAAAGCAAATTTGGATGGCAGACTTTGAAGCCATAGAAAAGGCAACAAATCAATATAGTAAAAAAAATCCATTTTAATGTCTACATCTCTCATCTAACTCATGAATAAAATTCATTACTTCTTTCCTCTATCAAATTTTTATATAGCCCCTATTATGTGCCATAAGGTCGTAGCTAGGAACCAAACAAATGAGAAATAGTGCTGTCACAGGGATAACAGTCTTGGGCAGAAAGCAGACAGCTAATAAATACAACAAATCAGTGTCAGATGGTGATAAATGGTGTGGGAGGAATCACAGAAAATAGAATATTTCCTTATTGAGAAAGTGAAGCTGCACAATGACATGACTGCAATCATCAAACACAGACAGATACATTTGGAAGGGAAGAGCACAAGAGTTGAAGCCCCAGTGTAGAGGATTGTGATAAAATAGTCCTGCACTAGCTCAGAAATGAGCATAATAAAGGACAGGGCAAGTGCTCTGTAAGGAAGCAGGAGGCCACAACAAATCAATGAGTAGAGTAACAGGAGATGCAGGGAAGATTTCTTCTGCAGGGAAATGACAGTGGAGGATTGAAACAGTTGTACCTTATAGATGATTCTGAATTCTTTGGCTTTTACTAAGGGAGATATGAAGCCACTGCAGAGAAGATAATATATTGTTCTTTTTTTTTTCAGGCTGGCTCTTAATAATATAGACTAGCCTAGTCTGGAACTCATTACACAGCATAGGTATAATTCACAATCTTCCTTACCTCCTGAGTATTGCTTCTATAGCTATAAACTATCATGCATAGTAAAGAAAATTTAAAGTGTCATTCTATCTTGCTATTTAAAAAAAATAGGTATTTGTCAGAGATGTCTAAGTGGATAAAAGTACTCGCTACTAAGCTTGATGACCCAAGTACAAGCCTTAGAACTCACAAGAGTACTGACTTGTTCAATTGTCCTCTGATCTACTGGCATGTGCCCCTCCCTCTTCCTAGAAAATAAATCAACGAAGAGGAAAAAAAGTTGAGTGGGCAGGGAAGGGGAGGATCTTGGTAAAGCTGGAGAAGGTAGGGAATATGACGACATTGTACAAAATTCTCAAAGAACTGGTGAAAAAAATAAATGTAAAAATTTTAATTATGTGGAAAGTATAAAAATATACTTGAGATGGTAGTGATGATGCATTAATCATACATTCTGACGCTGTGACAAATACTTGAGAAAAACAGTTTAAAGGAAGGTGATTAAATTTTGCTTATGGTATCCTATACTTAGGAGGTTATCCATGCATGGCTGGTTGAATATATTGTTCTGAGTCTGAGTCAAGGCAGAATATCATGGTAACAGGAACATGTGGCAGAGGTTATTCATGTTATGTTAGTCAGGCAGCAGAGAGAGAGACAGGAGGGGTCAGAAAGAAGCTACTCTTCAAAAACACACCCACAGTGGCTTATTTCTTCCACTGAGGCCATACCTTCTAAAGCTTCCAGTAGATGAAACTAAACTTTCAACACATGAGCCTGTGGGATCACTTAGTATTCAAACCATAACAAATAGTTTTGTTGTAAAGAGGCAACATGTACTACTAACAATGGCAAGAGCAGATTATTTTGAGAGTGTAAACTGAAAAAAAATCCCAATAAAAACACTGATTTTTCTTATGCTAGACAATTTAATATTAAAATTTACATGAAAAATGTAGCCCATTATCTCTTGGGTAGGTAAGAATTTACAAATTACTGTAGAATACCATATCAAAGTAGAACTACTTCTAATTTATATTAGAACACACAACATATCTTCTGAAAGGAGAAAGATAAATAGAATAGTGATGGAGGAAGGTCATTGGTTAAATAAAAAGAAACTGCTTGGCCCTCATTGGTTAGAAGATAGGTGGGAGGAGTAAACAGAACAGAACGCTGGGAAGAAGAGGAAGTGAGCTCAGACTCCACAGCTCTTCTCTCGGGAGCAGACGCCTCAGAGAGAGAGAGACGCCATGCTCCCGGCTCCTGGGCAGACACATGCAATGAAGCATCCTGGTAAGACCGGTGCTCACAGATTATTAGAGATGGGTTGATCGGGATATCAGAATTAGCCAGTAAGGGCTAGAGCTAAAGGGCCAAGCAGTGATTAAATGAATACAGTTTGTGTGTTGTTATTTCGGAGCATAAGCTAGCCAGGCTGCCGGGGTGCTGGGGATGCAGCCCTGCCGCTCATATTACTACAGAATAGAAAACCTAGAAATAGATGAAGTACATATGGAAATCAGGATAAGTAAATATGACTAAAGGAAATATATAAATAAGAATACCTAAAATGAATATAGTGAGGAGGGCTTGTTTGTTGAATGGGGCTTGGAAAACTGGACAGTCATCAAAAATCATACTCATAATTCACTATATATATAACAACAACTACAAGTAAAGCCAGTAAAACTGATGAAGATCATAGTTTATTAATTTATGAACGTATTTTGCTTTTGTGTTGGGCACTAGAATCTCGAAATTTCCAAGACCCTTTTTTCTTTCATCTCTAGAGCCTCCTTCACTAAACAAAACATTAAATCCTCCTTCTTTGAAACATGTATGTACTCACTGTTACTGTAGCTTATTTGATGTCCTTATAGCACATTGTATGACACTTATTTAGCATATGGTATTATTTTCTTGATGCACAGGCATGGATCTTTACAAACCAGCTAACTCTGGTTTTATAATTCCCAACTGTAGAACAGACCTTAACAATTTACATCCTTATTTTTGCTTTCCCAACCCTGTTCTCTGAATAGCTTGCTGTCAGAGTAAAGTGAGGTAAAGTAGTCTTGTTAAATGTAGAAGAAGAGTCTAAAAGTATACAGAACTAAAACAGATTTTCTCTGGTACAATAGTTGAAACCAGGAGTCTCAAGTATGCAAGGGAAGCATCCTATCACTGAGCTATATACCTCCAGTCCAGGATAAATAAAATATCAAAACACTAACAGTGTCCCATACTTTTCTCCATCCCCTCTCTCTCATTAGATATAAAAACGTAATGAGAACATCTACTTTTGGATCAAAGCCTTGGGTGAACTTGATGCCTTGCCACTATAATAATTGCTAGCAAGCAGAGCACTGTGGAAACATGGCCCTCAAACACAGAACAACAAAGACGGGAGTAAACTAGTTCTCTCCTATACAGAACACTATTCATTAGATGTTACATGGAGATTTCTTCAGTAAATCAACTTTTAGTTGAAAGCAGTGCATGTACTTCAGAAATGTAGAGTTCAAAACTACATCAAAATGTAAGCAATTCTGTGAACATGTTTTGAGTTACCAGTATACTTACAGTTTTTTCGTGATTTTCAAAAGCCTCTCTGGCTTCTTCGTATGTGCAGACTTCTTCTTTGCACTCACGCTCAATGTTGCCTTGTCTTATTTCTTCAAAAAGCCCATTGGCTCTTGGGTAGCGTTTTAATACTGAGTTGGCCTTTTCTCCCGTGAGGAAAACTAAAAAGAGATATAATAATAAGCATAAAACAACAGTAAGAAACTCATGTGGGAAACTGATATACAAGAAGAAAACTGTTTGTCCTCAGAAAACACAGACAATATTCTAAACATCTTTCAGTAAACCAGGAATGAAAAAATGTTTAACTTCAAATGAAAGCATTTGATAGCTTTTCATAATGGGAATATATGCTTTTAGTACATATGGCTCTGGGAAGGAACAGTAACATAATGACCCATGTTATATTCAGACTTAAGCAGATTCTTGAGCACCATGGGTGTTTAAAAATAGCAATAATGATAGTGTTACTTATATTCATTACTGTAAGTGGATACTCCAAGGCATACAGCAAGCAAACCAAAGGTCAGTTTCTGCCTACCTAAAAATAAACACAAATCCAATTGACCTAATAATATAAACTTAGAGAACCGTTACTTAAAGAAAAGACTTAACATGGTGAGAGTCTCATTACAGATCTTCGAAGCTTGTAAAAGATAAATAATATAATCCATAGGACTTTCTGGAAAAAATGAAATATAAAATAAATTTATCTACATCTCAGTTCAAAAAGCAGTAGCAATAATTTCATTCTAAATATAGTATAGCTGTACTTCAAGGTATTTAATCTCATTTCAACATATTTAAAGAAAATTATTTTTCATGAACAACTGTTAGCATGTGTGCACATGTAAACACATGCAAACACAGATGCAGCATCCTTTTTATTAAGTTCCATTTTCTTCTTTTCTGCACGAGGTCATCATGATTTGGTTTACATTTTATATACATGATTCATTTCAATTTAGATGATAAATTTTAATTAACAAAGCTTAATCTGTATTTGAATTTCATAAAACGCAATCTTCAACGTATAGTTACATGGCCAGACGAAAAGGTTTCCAAACCTGAACTTAGTCATAAAATAATCTTCAACAGGTGCAGTTCTATTGACGAAATGTGTCATCATTTTCAGGATAATTGATTTCATTGAAGCAAACATGGTAATTTTAAAATCACATCACTTTACGCTAAACAAACTTACCTACTCTCCCCTCCCTTTCTCCCTCTCCCTAGCTTTACTCCTTTTAACGCATTTTTAAAAGTTGTATTTGTAATAAATTCCCAGGCAGTCCTCCTATTACCACAGTTTAAGAACCAATATCCTAAGATCGGTTCCTCTGAAGATGGTTCTGAGTGTTTATGGAAAACATTTTTTAAATCAGATTTAGACATATTTTATTGTGTGACTTGTATATATTGAAATATATTTAATATGTACATTGCAATTATCTTAAAAACGAGTGTGTCTGGTTTTGGTTTGACTATGGAATTCTTTCCAAGACATATTTCACAAAATGATAACATTTTAGCCCCAGGTCATATTTATATCAAGACTTCTTTTTTCCAAGACAATCTTTTTTCCCTTCTTCATCTGTTTCTTATGTAAGGGGATATGATTTTCTGGACCCACACCCACCCTCTCTAATAATCTAGTGTTCTGTGCTGAATATAGTTCTCAGTAAGAATCAGAATTTGATCCAATTTTCATCATCCATATTTCGAACACAATACATATGTTAATTCATTTTAAAATATCACCAGCTTTTATATCACATTTCCTGAGCATAAATCAAATAATACACAACAAGAGATTTTGAATTTTCAACAAGAAAAAGCAAAATACCATGAAGAGGAAATTATCTTCTCATATGCTAGCTAAATGGGAAATAAGTGTTACGGAAAGTAGCTCACTCCTAAAAGTAGAAAGCAAGCTAACTGAAAGGTGATATATCAGGACACAAACTTCTAATTCCAGACTAATCAAATTACCAGAAGCATTCCACATAAACATCTCTTATGTATTTCTTCTACCAAGAAGCAAGGTAACATAATACTAAGAACTCTAGATGTTGGCAAGAAAACTTATCTCCTTGCCAAATCTACTTAAATGGAAGATATTATGTGAAGTAAAAGTTTGACCAGTAGTAAAAAATAGTATCATAGATAAGTTGTATCTGCCATATATCAGGGAATAAGAAATAAGAAAAGAACATTTGACAGTATTTTAAAAAGTGGTTTGGAAATCTAATGGACTCTGCAAAATAATAAAAGAATGGGGAGCTTATGAGACAGTTAATCAGGTGCTTGCCAGCAAGCCTATAAACCTGATTCTGATTCCTGAAATCCACAGTGGAAGGTTAGAAACTTTACATCTATTCTCCATGGACCATGTGTGTGCACACACACATAAAAAATTACTTTTTATTTTTATTTTTAATAGAGTAGAATATGGCAGCTATAACTTACAGGATGAAGTTACATTATCTCTTTATGTAGTTCGTTTCTTCATATATATATATATTAAATATTAATATATTATATAATACAGTTTCCCATTCCTCAAAGCCTCCCAGATCCTTCCTAGATGCCAAACTTCATGTTTTCTTTCTTTCTCTTTAGAAAACAAATAGGTGAGTAGGGCAGTTGTGGTGCATGCCTTTAATTCCAGCACCCAGAAGGCAGAGGTAGACAGAACTCTGTGAGTTCAGGTCAGCCTGATCTACAAGAGCTAGTTCCAGGACAACTAGGACTGTTACACAGAGAAACCCTGTCTTGAAAAAAATAAATAAGTATACAACAAAAACCAACTTGTGAAACAAAGAAAAAGCACAAGAAACACATCCACACCAGCAAACACCATAGAAATACAAAATTGGAAACTATAATATACAAGCAAAAGATCAGTAAGACAATAAATGCCCAAACAAAGCAATGAGACAGAACATTTACTAAAATACCATTGAGTTCATTTGAGTTGACTGTCTACTGCTGCACATGGGGCCTACTCGTAAGTGTAGTGAAACTCCATTGGAGGAAACTAATTTTTCTGTTGCAAGCAATGTAAAATTTAGATATCTTCTTGGTTAGGGAATGTACATTTTCTGTTCTCAATGCTGGGACTCTGTCTGGCTTGAACCTGTACAGGTCAAACACTGCACAATATTGAGGCAACAAGGCTTACCTCAGGACTTTTCCTGACTGGATATACTTGAATTAGGAATTTAAAATTCAAACTTAGAAGCTAAAGATATAGCATGGTGTTAATGCTAAGTATATGTAAGGCTCGGTGATCAATCTTCAGTTTAAAAATAAATCAAGATAACCCACACCACTCCTGGGCCTTTCCTGAAATGCTGCTAGACTTCCATTGCTAAGGTGCAGGCCACACCAGTCAGAAGAACATGTGAGTGATACGCCTGCCAGCTGAACTGTCACACTCACCAGATTTTGTTCCCCAAGACCCATTCCTCCATCTGCCCCTCCAACTTCTGTCCAAGTTGGGAGTTTGCCTTCTGGAGGTTAACTTGACCTTTGGTGCAGTAGGGGTCACTGTTCTTCTGACTAGTATAGCCTGCACATGTTCTTCTGACTAGTGTGGTCTCCACTTGAGTAGCGAGAGTCCCTAAGGGCAGGGCAGGACAGGGCATGTCCTTGTGTCTGGCAATGAGGTTGGAGGGACTTGAAGAGAGAGAAAACTAAAATTAAGAAAGTCAGAAATGAAAAAGGGTACATAAGAAAAATTGAGGAGGCTGGGTGCGAGTACTCGGGGCTCCCAGGCGGGCAGCAGTTCCTTTGTTTCTGTGGCCTGCCTGCACCAAGCGGGGTAGGTGCTTTGTTTGCGAGCTGCCCAACCAGCACGGAGGCCTGATCTCTCGGCGCCAGGAGACCCAGAATTGGGGTGAGTTTCGCGCCCACGGCGCCAGCCTGGGACGGGGAGCTCGGGGGGTTCCTTGGCCCCCTGTCCTTCTTGGGCTCTCTGCAGGGCCTCTACTCCCTGGGTGCTGCCTCTTTCTTCCTGGCCAACCCAGCTTCCATCCAGAGCCCTCCCAACTTCGGCCCCACCACCCTCTTTTGGCGCGCGTGGCATCGCCCAGCCCAGGCTATCTGGGCGCTGGGTCCGAGTACTCAGGGCTCCCGGGCGGGCAGCAGTTCCTTTGTTTCTGTGGCCTGCCTGCACCAAGCGGGGTAGGTGCTTTGTTTGCGAGCTGCCCAACCAGCACAGAGGCATGATCTCTCGGCGCCAGGAGAGCCAACATTGGGGAGAGCCAGCGTTTGGTAGGCAAGGAGACCTGATCCGGTAAAAGAAGACCCATAGGGAGCATTTGGAAGAAGAGATGGGCCGACATCAAGGCAAGAATTCGCCCAACAAGCTGAAATGCAACATGAAGCCACCAGAAACAAGCGACCTCACAACGGGAGGACAAGAACCCCTTAATCAAGAAGAAGGAGAAAAGATTGACTTCATGAAAGTGATTGACACCCTTAAACAGCATGTAAAAAACGCCCTTATAGAAATGGATGAGAAATATAACAGAAAGTTTGAAGAATTGAATAAATCAGTGAATGATACCCTAGAAAACCAAGGAAAAACAATCAAACAGATAATGGAAACAGTTCAAGACCTGAAAACTGAAATGGAGGCAAAGAAGAAAACACAAACAGAGGGCCGGCTGGACATGGAAAATCTAGGTAAACGAATAGAGACTACAGAAACAAGCATAACCAGCAGAATACAAGAGATAGAAGAAAGATTCTCGGATTCTGAAGATACCATAGAGAAAATAAACACACTGATCAAAGAAAACAGCAAGTCCAACAAACTCTCATCACAAAACATTCAGGTAATAAGGGACACAATAAAAAGACCAAACCTAAGAATAATAGGAGTAGAAGAAGGAGAAGAAGGGCAGCTCAATGGTCCAGAAAATATATTTAATAAAATTATAGAAGAAAACTTTCCCAACCTAAAGAAAGATATACCTATGAAGGTGCAAGAAGCATACAGAACACCGAATAGGCTGGATCAAAAAAAAAAAAAAACATCCCCTCGCCATATAATTATCAAAACACAAAGCATACAGAATAAGGAAAGAATATTAAGAGCTGCAAAGGAAAAAGGCCAAGTTACTTAAAAAGGTAAACCTATCAGACTTACACC